TATGGCGTCTCTCACTGCTAGTGACGTCACTGCCAGTTGTTCTATCCATTCCATCACGGGCCATTAGTACCTCCCGCTCTTCATCTTGAGAAGATGAACATTTGGTGGAAAGCTAACGATGATATTGGCCGACATGGGCTAGTCTTTCCATGAAATCGGCGATGAAAGTAACCCAGCCGCCATGTGACCCGTGAACACTGCGTTCCTCGACCTTGTAAAGATCATGGCTCACCTGAAGGCATGTATTCATCAACGTGCCTCTCTAAAATCACGTGATCATTTGAAAACATTCACGTGTTGTCAAAAATCATAGGTTTTCCGAGTTTGAACCTCTCCGTGTCTTGTGGATACCTTATTAGGCTTGTTTTAAGCTTCGCATGCAAATTCCATTTAGGCGATTTCCGCACGCCGCAGCACAAATAGCATGCAGCATCTGCTGAAGGGCTCTTGAAAAGATAGCCCACCATCCAGACTGCTGGCACGTTTGTTGCATTGGAAAGAAATGTGACCAGTTGCAGGTCCACAGTTAAAGGTGATCAGCCTGAAATGACACCCTATTTCGTTTACCACGATACGTTTACACGGTAAATAACGTCTTTCAACAAGTTGGAAGGCAATTCTGCAAGCCGCGGAGGCTCGCCAGCCCTGTTTGATTTGGCTGCCATTGGGGGCAAACAAACAGAACAGCCTATCGTTGACCATGCGGAAGGCACCTACAAGGCTGTCTGGTGAAGCGCTGGCGGTGAATGTGTCTGGCGGTGGAGGAGGACGGAGGAGCGCGGGGAGGGGGAGGCGGACGAGGGGTGATGCGTTTTGCGCGGTGTTCTTGAGAGAGACGTGCATTGTATGATGACACCTTTTCAGATTCCCACAAGTAATGACATTATTTGAAAATATAGGTACGGATATTAATTCCCACAATTAACTTCCGATAATTACGTAAGAATAACTTTGCAAATTATGTCACATTTTGCAGGCTTTTTTGCACGACCGTGGGACCACAACTGATTGTCATTTTGACATGATAGAGAAAACCGGCGTTTGTCTTTGTATCTTATTCAGTGAACTTACTTGCACGTGGCACATGCAGTGCGTGACGTATCATGTGTTTTCTAGCGTCGTGACAGGACAGTCCGCTAGCGTTAGGCCCCCGCCGGTGTCGGGAGGGGTTAAAGAGCGACCCTTCCCCATAAGGCTCTTTCGAGATAAGCGTTGCACCGTTTGGCGGATCGCGCTGAATTTTGACTGCCTTCTGGCGCATGTTTTCCGCAGCTTTTGTTTTAAGATTTTGGTCCTATCATGTCAAACCAAAGAGCTATGACGTCATAAAAAGCATGTTCGGGTCAGTTTTGAGCAAAACTGTCGAATATCGCACCTTAGCATGACATTATTCACGAAAGACGGCACATTTTGGGTGACTTGGATTACAACTTATCTGCACTGACATCTGCACACCACCTCTTGACCTTTCCAATGTCATGCGAAGGCACTGGCCGAGGTCGATCTCTGGTGACGCTCTTCAGGTTTAATGGGATTTCTTGAGGCCGTTAATTCGAACTCTTCATCGATTTGCCTTAATTCGAATTCGTCATCCAAGCTTCTCAAAATTGGCATCAAAAATGCAGACAAAAAATCTGCATATCGTTTTTTTGTAAATCATGAGCTCAAAACTGCAGTTTCGCTTACACATACGTTTATAATGTGGCAAAGCCAACACCACAAACATTGAGGCAGTGGTAGTGTTAGTCATTCAACACAGCTGAAACGTTAGGTCAATGAAGTTTTTTTAGAGCGTCTTGGCTACTAAGGGAGTTTCGCTGAACGCACAGGTCACGATCGGCAGCGCAGGCACCGATTTATGGGATTGGAAAGCAGCGCCTCACCATGGCAGACGACAGCGACGGTGAGGTTCTTTCCGATTCGGACGAATCTGGGTCTGAAGACCAACGGGATATGACATCGGCCGACACCGAGTTCTAAGAGGAGAGCGAGGCAACCCTGTCGGCGTTGTCAGATCCGCCAGCGCCGACAGCCCCTCTCTGGCCGACCGGTCCTCCAGCGCCGGCCTGCGATTGCTCTAAGGAGAGCACAGATGAGGACGAAGGGATTTGGACCGTTGGCGAAGATATGCTTCGCATGATAGATGTGCCGAACAAGCCGGCGAAGCACGGGCTGCTGATCCGAGCGGTGGCTGATGCCAGCTCTCAGTACATGCCACACATGCTGACGTATCTCCTGGCGAGGTCGGGCAGCCAGACCTAGGACTCGACGTGACCAACGCCGTCAGCGTCGTGAAGCATCTCGTGGCTCCGCTGAAGAACAGCGGCGGCAGCGTCACAGCAGATCACTTCTGCACCGACGTGGAGCTGTGTGAGGAACTGCTGGACGACAAGCTGACCTGTGTCAGCTGTCGTGCCGACTCGGCGGCACCTGCCGGAAGGGGTGAAGGAAACACGACAAGGCAACAGGAGAAGTCCCACGGATTTCTTTTCATCAGGGGACTCATGGTAACCTCTTACGCAAAGAAGAAGGGGAGGAGCGCGCTTCTGCTGTCCAGCCAGCACGTCCAGCTCCTTGTCGGCGCCAGCACCGACAAAAAGTCCACCGAGAGCAATGCTGTATTACAATCAAAACCAGAGGCGACGTTAGAAGGGTAGTAAGATGACCTCCTTACAATAATCATTTAGGTGGCATTCGTTAAGCCAATTAAATTTTCAATTACGAGGAAAATTTAAAAATACAATGTACTTAACAAATATCACTTATATAATTAATGCGGGGTCATCATGATGCCCTTTAAATACTTCCCATGCCTTACTTGCACAAGCACTGCACCATCTCAAAGGCGGTATTTACACCATCGACCAGATGCTCGGCCAATACACCAGTCGGATGCCGTGGAGGAAATTACCCGCGATGGTCTTCTTTCTGACGTCACCGCTCTGGACAATATTTTCGCACAAAATGACTGCAAGCAATGGCTCGACCAATATTCAATCCCGTCTTCCAACGTGAGGTTGGTGTTTGGTCTAACCTGAGCTATGACCTCCGCTTCAAATGTATATGGCCGCGTCTCATTACATTTGTAAGAAGTTGTGAAATGCGCTTACGTTTACTAGAAATCTACACCTGCTACATATTAGCATGTGCTCCTTGGAAAGTTGCTTGAGTTTCGAATTTTTGCAAAATTTGATCTTAGACGTGACCTAGCGGGGCACCCTTAAGAGATACTCTCAAGTGATCTAGTAAAAGTAATAGAAGACGCGTGAAACCATCTTTCCTATACGCGGGCGCCAAACTTTCTTGCACATACGAGGGTTAATAATGACGTCGGGTCGCCATTTTCAATGCACCATCACCGAAATGCGTACGTTTCACCGTTGCCAACCGCTACTCGCTGTTACCAATCATCAAACGACTGAATTCGTTGCGTTCCTTGTTATTGTACCGGACTTCCTGAGAACGCGCTAAAGAAGATGAATCAAGGCATTTTTGAGTCGGGTCGCCATTCATGAATCAATAAATTTTCATGTTTCATAATCAATATCTGATATAAAGTCATGCACATATACCCAAATTCATGGCGCTGGCTCCGGGAGTTCTCCCAGCAACAAGCTCTGCATAGCTGGGTGGACTCCCTGGAAATCCAGCCCAAAACCCAGCACAAAAATGACCAGGTAATTGCCCCCTCCGACTTGTGACTGTATAACCCTTACTAACACCGGGAATTGAGTGGTTGTAGATTATTGGGCGGTTGTAGCGGGCTGTCATTAGCTGATTTTGGCTAATGACTACTTTAAGCCTTTTCATCTATGATTTTTCCCTACCTCTCACATAACACAATTCCCTCGGGTCTGCTCCACCTCCTCGCCTGTTTTTTTAAGTTTGTAAAAAATAAAGAAAAAAAGCCAGTAAGGTCAGGAAAGGTCAAAACCACCGCGAAAGAAATCGTGAAAGGAATGGCTTACCAAGAAAAAGCTGAAGAGCACGACCAGTAAACATTGGATATGAAATGAGAACTTTACCGAAACGCAAAAATGCGTTGGCGAGGGACAGCGAAGTATTTGAGCGGGCAGATGAGCGAAAATAAGGCTTGCTAAGAGAACAGATAAGCATAATAAACAACATAGCGTCATAACACACGTCTTGAAATATGCGAGGAAGAACGTGAAAAAGATTTCAGCTGTTCTTCCGTGTTACAGCGTGGAAGTGTGCAGTTGTAGTATTCATAACTGATTAAGGCCGCAGTGTGGTACGATATCACCAAAACTTTAAGGCAATGGCCTTGCCAGGCAATGAAACTAGCGATAGTTACATGTGACGCCTCAGGCAATGCTTTACGTTTCATAGAATTTAATCACAAATCATTTTTTCATCACAACAAAGCATGTCATTCCAGCTTATATCAGGTTCAAGTGGACCATTTTCTTAGCTCTGGATCGGCAGGACATGAGGCAATGTGATAACAGAATTGACGACGAGCCATGGAGAAAACCTTGCGCGTCGGGGAATTACGCCATCTTCCCCCACATGCGGAGCCCTTTCAGCATCATCTCCACTTCTCCCATCCCCTGCATCCCCATGTGGGGAGCGTTTTAAACATCCTTCCCATCTATCCCATCCCCAACATCCCCACACAAGAGGCATTTGAACATTTCCCGTCAAGTGTCAAAGATCAGGTCCCATTTTCGAAGACTCCATCGCTCTCTGTTGTACTCCGTGACCGGATATCGTTACTCATGAGGAAAAATGAGCATCTATAAGCCATCAGGAGCGCATCCATCAGGGCTCATCATGAGACCATGGTTGATCTATAAGTAATTCATGCTATACTTACGTCCACATATAGATATGCAAGCCGTGGTCCTTGCTGCTAGGGACCAACGCTTTATTTGTCAGCCTCTTTCATATGTGTCGTTTGCATGTGTAGTCCGTCAAAGAATACTTGCCTTGACTCTCTTTTTTGTTACAGCTTAGTGATTTTTTTACACTGTTTTCAGGGAAGCGCGTTACGATGGCAAACCCTGATGGTGCTCATCGGGGTTCTTCATAGCCTGTTCCATCCAGCCCTGTCTGCGGACTTCGTGCAATTGGTAAGCTTATCCGGCGAAAAAACACTAATTAAAATGACTGTTCACGAATGTTACAATAATGCAGTGGGGTATTCGCTCATTGATAATCATTCGTGATTTGAAAAATAAAACAAACGCTAACTGAGCTTGCTCCTGTCGGTGCTGCAGTTGTTTTTGATACCCCTTTCTCTGTCTTCCTCACTCATTCTCGCTTCCTCCCTCTCTCCCTCCCTTCCTCCCTTCCTCCCTCCCTCCTCCCTCCTTCTCCCCTTTCTCCTTCTTCCCCTCCTCTCTCTCTTCCTCTCTGCCTTCCTCCCTCCCTTCCTCCCCCATTTCCTTCTCCCCCTTCCCGTTCCTCACTCCCCCTCACTCTCCTTCCTTCCCTCTATCCCTCTTTTTTCATTCTCCTACCATTCTTCCCTCCATCCCTCCTTTCTCCCTATCTCCTCTGTGTATTTCCTCACCATTCCTCTCCTCTCCTCTCATTCCCTACCCTCCCCTTCCTTCGCCCCCTCCTGCTTTTACCGTCTTCCTCCCAATCTCCCTCTCCTCACCCTCGCCCTCACCCTCGCCCCCGCCCTCGCCCTCGCCCCCGCCCTCGCCCTCGCCCTCGCCCTCGCCCTCGCCCTCGCCCTCGCCCTCGCCCTCGCCCTCGCCCTCGCCCTCGCCCTCGCCCCCGTACTCGCCCTCTCCCTCTCTCTCGTCCTCGCCCTCTCTCTCGTCCTCGCCCTTGCCCTCGCGCTGGCCCTCTCCCTCTCCCTCTCGCTCCCTTTCTCCCTCTGTCTCTCCCATCTCCCTCGCCCTCGCCCTCGTCCTTTCCCTCTCCTTCTCCCTCCCTTTCTCCCTCGGTCTCTCCCATCTCCCTCGCCCTCGCCCTTGCTCGCTCTCCCTGTCCTTCTCCCAGCCCCTCTGCCTCTCCCCTCCCCTTCCCTGGTAACCCTGTCGTGACCGGAGTCCCGTCTTCGCAGGCCGAGTATGACCCGAGCCGGGACGTTGGGGCGCCTCCCGGCACCGTCTGGCACAACGGCTCCTACCACTACATGCCGGCGCCGCCCGGCACCAGGCCGCCCTGCGCCCGCAACGGCATGACCTTTTGCAGCGAGATCCCCAACTACCCCTCGTGAGTGGTGTCCCTGCGTCCCCTGACTGCCCCCCACACTGTCCTTTGTGAGTGACGGTATGACCTTCTGCAGCGGGATTCCCAACTGCCCCTCGTGAGTGGTGCACGGGGCACGCGCTGCCCCTCGTGAGCGACGACATGGCCTGCAACCAGATCCCCAACTACCCCTCGTGAGTGGTGCACGGGGCACGCGCTGCCCCTCGTGAGCGACGGCATGACGTTCTGTTGCGAGATCCCCAACTTCCCCTCGTGAAGGACACACGGGACACGCACTGCCCCTCGTGAGCGACGAGATTCTGCAGCCAGAGGTCGCCGATGCTCCATGGAATGTGCGTGACGATGTGCGTTGCGTTCCCCCAAAACACGAACAGTTGATGCCCTCCGCTAGAGGAGGCGTCAGAAGCTGGCGCTGCGGGCCCTGCGCTTGCTTGTCACCGCAGCCGGCGGTCGGGCGGCGCCACCAGCGGGCCGCGCCCAGGCGGAAGGCATCTGCATCCATGTCGAGACCGCCGATTAGCACCCTGTGGTGGCGCGTGGGCCGGTATTTCATCGCAACGAGCTGAATTCGGCGAGATCGCGTCACGCCGGGGCCGCCCCAAGGCCGAGGTCACCTGGCGTGGCACGCAGGGGTGGGTTCGGCGTCACGAGCTTGGCCGGCCCGGGTGCCCGACAACAAGACAACATGGCAAAAAACCAGCCGCGTGAGCAAACAGCCGTAGTTGTGAGTAACTTAAGCTAATATCCTGCATAGGGAATATCATATATATATATATATATATATATATATATATATATATATATATATATATATATATATATATATATATATATATATATATATCTATGTGTGTGTGTGTGTGTGTGTGTGTGTGTGTGTGTGTGTGTGTGTGTGTGTGTGTGTGTGTGTGTGTGTGTGTGTGTGTGTGTGTGTGTGTGTGTGCATATGTATTCTTTTTTGCTATCTTTTGATGCGAGTATGCCCTTGTGTGTATGTGCGGATGGATGAGTGGATGTGCGTGTCTAGTTAATGGCACGGCACAATAACGCCGAAGGACTCGCGGAGCGACGCCCCTCCCAGACAAGGCGTGTCGCCGCGGCCAGCGCTGCGCAGGGCGCGGGTCCGGGCGCGCCGGCCCGCATCCGGCCGCCGCAAAGGTCAGCACCCGGATGAGGTGGAACTGACCTGACGGCGGCGGCGTGCACTGGACCGGTCACCCGGCGTGGGTGCGGTCAGCGTTAATCGGCCGGCCCGGCGGCGGACGGTGACGTCATGCGGTGGAGGTGACGTCAGACCGGCAGGCCTTGCGGTGCATGGCTGGAGAGGGAGGCGAGGGCGAGGGCGACGTTCAGCACACGACTCTCGCATGACACGGCGCTTGTGTGGACGCCTCGTGCCATGGACTCCGGCGCAGAGGAGGCGGTAGGGCTTCGTCTCCAGAGTTTTCCGGAGTTTTAACTCCCCTGTGGGAGTAATTTTACACCTTTACCCTACAAAAGGGGTCTCACTGACCCTCCCAAAGATCTAAAAACTAAGCAAGCTAAGACCACGGAAAAGTGGTGTTGAAAAGCTCTTGGAAAACTTCATCAGGCAGGTGTGACTCCTTACTGGTGAAAGCGACCTTGAATTTAGGTCATACGGTTCAAATTAGCACTTTACAGGCCCCTATTTTCTGCCAAGAAATAAGCATGCTGCGACAATGCATCAAATGGGGATGAACGGCTCCGCCAAGACATCATGCCATTAGCTGGGCACTAATGGACAAAGACAGGTGCGACCAGTGATGAGTCATGTCATGTCACGGGGGTGAACGAAGGCTATTATTGCAGTGGCCTGTGTGGCAGTGTCGAGAAGGACACAAGCCACATTAATGGAGAAAGCAGCTTAAGAAAGGTCTCGCAAAGATATGAGATGTGTCGTGAAGCTTTAACCTGTATGGCGTACAAACGTTCAAATCTGATCACAAAAAATACAGTTTAACCACCTTGACCTCGGATGACTTGAACTTGCACAAGCAATCAGAATGATGATAATGCGCTTCAGAGTGAGGACAAACTTGAATGTTGTTTATAAATTTGGGGGAGCATTTCCTGGTAAAAATGTCACGCTTTTGAGCAGAATGTCACAGATATAACCTTGCGAAAGAGTTCATAGGTCAAGAACCATCCAGGTCGCATACTTTAACATTTGTCAACATATGAACTATTGATTAAAAATCGGCCACCCAAACCTTCAGCACCGTTTTAAAAAGCACCGTTGAGAAGCTATTCCTGAAAGATGATCAAGGTTCTCAAAGCAATTTGTCGTAGAAACAGGGCTTATCTCAAGATTACGGCAATGGGCCGGGCCTCCATGTCATCTCCCCCAGTATTTGACCAGTGCCAGAGCCAGTGCTTTCTTGTGTGAAGGGAATCGCGCTGATGCTTCTTACATGACATGATGTTTGATTTGAGTCGACGGGATGCAAACTGCACGATAAAAACAAAGATGCGGCGATGATGAAAGCACATCTGGAAAGCTTGAAAAAGGCATGCAAAGTCAACTAAAACCCTCTTTTTCACGCTGGTCAAGTTTAGATATGAGCGCAGCACAGCCCCCGGAGGTCATAATGACCGGCGGCAGGCGGCTCCAGGACGAGGCCGAACGATATGAGAACACCCTATGCGACATAGCCAGCCGGAAAGGGGGCAGCTCCGAAACGCCGGCCATCGCCGACCTCGTGACACGCTCACTGACAGCGGTCCGAGGGGTGAACAGCGACCGGACCGCCCCCGGGGCATGGGGCTCGTTTAGGGCCCTTGAAGACGCCAATGTGGTCACAACGCGTATTAAGATTACCGATTCCTCGCCAGCCCAGCCATCTTACGATCTGTGGAAAATGACCTCGACCCTGCGCCCCCGACCTCGACACGCATATTGTGAATTGGCTAAAAGCCTGTGGACATCAAGATAAGCCGACAATTACTGACAAACAACCTTTTCCCATATTTTCGACAACACAGATAAATTGTATTTGCCTAAAATTTATGGCACGTTAAGCGCACCGGACTTGTAAAAGGAAATAACTGAAACTAACTTCCACGCAAAGGGAAGGACGTGGGTGACGCTGGAAGAATTGTTAAGATGAAGCAAGTAAGGTCCTATGCCGGCGAGGCAGCTTTTTTAGCGCGAGCAGCGGCACGCCATCGACTCCAACAGTTCTAGTTGAAGACATTGTACCCATAGCCTGGCTGTGCTTGCGCACAGTGGTCTCGGAGGGAGAGGCGGGACCCCATGGCTGCGTGCCTTCAGCTCGGCCGCGATTTTCGGACCGAGACGGAGTGACGATTTAAATCGTCAGCCATGGCAGCGGGCATTACCTTCTCGGCGCCACTTCCCCTTAGCGGGTCGAAGTCCAAACTCACGGATAGTGCGCCAGAAAATAACCTGATTGGTTAGCGCACTGGGGCGCAGAAAGTCACACTTAGCCTGAGCGCAGCAGCCCTTCACCCGGTTTACCAGGCGTCGATATCCAGTGAGGTCAGTCTGCACGCCGCACCCGCGCCTGGGACCGGTAAGCGTGGTCGCGCTCCCGCGGCACACACAGCCGATCGGGATTGTCCGCTATCCAGGGGCGGCGTGGACGACGTTGTCACTGTTATCAGAGGACGGTGCACGTCAATGGTACCTGACCAGACGCACGTGAGCTCCTCCAGATTCCCCGCCACATCCACGGCCAGGCACAACGGGTCCCAGTCTGCCTGCAGAAAATACAGGCCGAGCGCGCCTCAGCAGACTTTGTGTCAGGGACGAATACGAATAGAAACAGTACGCAAATGCTGCTGCCTTGAACGGGGCACCAACGATGGTAGTCAAATGGCCTGCAATCGACATCGGCGGCACCAGAACGATGTCCTCGAGATTTGGCATGTTGATGATGCCGTGGTCCAGGAGAGTCGCGGTCGGCTCAAGATCGGTCGGTGTGTTGATGAGCTGCACAGGTCTCAGATAATTTAAAACAGACGTAATGTGACGCATGGATGGCTGGTCGGAACCCATCAAGTCAATGTGAAAATCACCGAAACAACAAAAACAGCGTATCTAAATACTTATATATATATATATATATATATATATATATATATATATATATATATATATATATACGTACATATACTGTGTGTGTAAAAAATTATCAGCCTTAAAAACATTGATTGTTTTGCTTTGTCTTATAATGTGCAGTAACATGATAACACACAACTCAGCTAAATTCGGTCTAACATGGTCCAATGCTCCAAATGCAGAAAGCTTTGTGGATATAAGTTTTATCTTTTATTACCCGATTTGGCGTGTCTAGGGTCACAAAACTCGATGTTTGATACGATTTGACAGGCATTATCCACTGCCGTTGTTTCGCTGTGCCTCGCTTATATCTGAGGGTAGCGCAGTGGAGACTGCGCTCTTATAGACTGCTCCGCATTGCTATTCCAACACAGGTCACAGGTGCTAATGGGTAACGATCACGGTATGATTGTTCGTGATGGGAGCTATCAATACCGTGACAAGGGTCTGAGATCGCAGCTCCGGAGCTCGTAACAACACCGGGTCCGCTGGTCTGAGATCTCAGCTCCGGAGCTCGTAACAACACCGGGTCCGCTGGTCTGAGATCTCAGCATTGGAGCTCGTAACAACACCGGGTCCGCTGGTCTGAGATCTCAGCCTTGGAGTTCGTAACAACACCGGGTCCGCTGGTCTGAGACCTCAGCCTTTGAGCTCGTAACAGCACCGGGTCCGCTGGTCTGAGATCTCAGCTCCGGAGCTCGTAACAACACCGGGTCCGCTGGTCTGAGATCGCAGCTGCGAAGCTCGTAACAACACCGGGTCCGCTGGTCGGAAACCTCAGCTCTGCACGTGGCTCCATCTGTCCATGGTTCCTCGCGGGCTTTGCCGAGAAAAAGAAATTCAATTGGCGCTGATTTGAACTGAACTTGTGCTTACTGACACGCTTTGGTCCCAGCGAGAA